AAACACACTGCATATCACTGTAGTTCCAGGCCGCACAGATGTAGAAGCGATTGAAAAAACGGACAAACTGGCGCCACAGTCCAATGGGATAAGAAAGAAAGCATAATGAGCATACTCAAGGACTAAATTGAGGCCGATTGCGGTCCCCTGTCTACACAGTTAGCTAGCTCTCAGTTCGGCAACAACACTGGCGCAAGAATTTTTTTCCAGTGTGTGTTATCATGCGGAGGTCATTTGTTCGAATGCTGATCGAACTAAGGTCCAAATTAAAGAAAATTAATTTGAAAAATTTTTTGTAATTGCTGTCGGCATAAAAACCCATCAATGGTTCGGTTCGGCTGCTTGGAGTAAACCGAGGAAAAAATATTAAGGCGCACACCTCAAATTGGAGAAGGAGCCAACGAAGCTCCATTCATAAATATATATATGTAAGTAACAAAATTACAAACGGCGTAAGTCTGCAATGCATTCTAAAAATAATCCGTACTCCAGAACGTCTAGAGACAACCATCATCTGCAAGCAGCCTCAATCTCGTGTTCTGTCAACTGTGCCACTTGGCTCCCCTTCAACACACAAACGTGATTCTGCTAGCAAACTTTTCTTTTTTCCAATCATATTTAATATAAATTAAACTATTATTTTCTCATAAAAGGCATCAAGTCTGCAGTATCACTTCATCTTGCTTTTAATAAAGAATTTTAGCCTCGGTTTTTCCAGAAAAAAAATCTGCTCAGTTATCATTCAATTTACTAATTATTTTGTTTCCGAAAATGACATAATATTTTTGGTTTTTTTGGCAATCTCTCTCGAATCCATTCAAAGAGTATTAGGTTATCATAGAGTTGTTTGTTATTCTGTGTTCTCTGCCGTTTAGATGAATCTTCGAACTTACGATTCTATTCAATTCTATCCACAACTATTCAGCGTTTCCTTTTAGAAGGAGATTGCTGGTACTCGAAATGCGTTTGATGGTGGGTCAAAGTCCGATTTAGAGAAAAATAAACAGCACCAATACCATGTTGGTATTTGTCCTCCTCGAAAATCTTAAAGCACCTACTACTCGATTAAATCGAAGCTCTTGACCCCTAAAGTATCTATGAATTACTGGAAGGTTTAAGTTTTTTTTGAATCTAAATGTGTGGTGTACACACCTTGTATGCGACTGGCGTACACATCGAGAAGATGCAAGGAGACCAGAGTATTTCGTATCAGCCTAACATTTTTTAGCATGGAGAGTATTTGTGGCTTTTTGGATGAAACTATAAATACATCTGTATCTGCTTACTTTTCGGTAACACGCGTACTTTATGCCGATGCCTTGCCAACCTATCTTCAGGCAAACATCAAGTCCGTCATCAATCGTGAGAAATAGAGCGTGCATTTGATATCTCAGCTGAATTGAGTGAGAGACGAGTACCCACTGTAAACTACGAAAAATCGTGCCTCGTCACAAAGAAGATAAAAACATTTTTATAGGTGAACTGACCGGAAAGTACCCTAAAACACCATCTAGGTAAGAGCGAAGCAGCAGATAGAGACTGTGCAGAGGAGGGCGAAACGCTGAAGCATTATTTCTGCGAGGACGTATGGAAATCTTTTAGATGTACCGAGCTCGTCGTTTATGGAGTTGGATATCCAAAGCAGTTCTTTTACGGCTATTTTTCCTCCGAATACTTCTAATTAAGCTGAATTTCTGAATTTCTGACTTCTCTGTTCGATGCTTTATTTCAGTCTATTTTATGCCATGAACAACCTAACACCGATATAGCAAGTCGAAATCGTCAAAACTCATTCCGAAAATGGTTTCTCCATTATCCCAGTGCAAAAATCGATGGCCACCAGCAGTTCAAACGAAAATATCGTTACAATCCATGGCGCGCGCTACAAAGTGATGCTGCGTTACTACTGAAAGCCGCAGCACACACTAGCCGCAGTTCAATGAACAGCGATTTCGACTGGCCACCGCGCTCACCCGATTTGTCGCCGACGGACTTTGAAGGGCAAAGTTTTCATCGACAAGCTGCAGACTATAGCTCGGCTCAAAGCCAATATTCGCTGGGAAACATCGCTTACTATCATCGAAACGGTGGAGCTTGTGATACAGACTGCACGAAAAGGTCATATTTTTACATCAAAAATAAAGACGGGCATTTGTTGGATATCAAATATATTGGTGAGTGCTAAGGCGAGACTGCCCTGATTGTTTATTTGGTAACAGGGTACACTTCGGCTCTCCCTTCTTTCTTCACTACCATCCCGTTTTCTTCGCTTGCTTGTCCAATTTGGAACAGCTTAGTTCTGCAGCATTAACAGTCCCCTGGCGAAAGAAATTCAGGAAGTATTTCCAGTTCTTTCGGAACCTTTGCACATAGTTAATCAGTAAATGAATCATGAAGGATGTTCTGGATAGATGTTCTCAATGGACTCCAAATGGTTTCCTTTGACCACCGACTTTGTTTCTAGGGAACAAAAAAAAATAAATGAGGGGCGAATAAGGCGGTGGTTGCGACACGGCGATTCATTTATGGGCCAAATACTGGGACTCGCTGAGGGCGGTGTGGCACGGCACTTTATCGTGATGAAGGATCCAGTTAGGAGTGATGTCTGGGTGTACCTTGTTGACTCTTTTTCGAAATCTTTCGAGTACTTGGCAATAGTAGACTTGATTTATGGTTTGCCTCGGTGGAAGAAATAATTTGTGGACGTTTCCACGGCTATCAAAAAAGGCAATAATCATCGTTTTAACCTTCGACTTGCTCATGCGTGCTTTATTCAGGCGGCGGGTATGAGGAGGCAAACATTATGAGCTGTGGCGCTGGTTTCCGGATCATATTGAAAAAACCAGCGGTCATCGTTTGTAATAACTCGATTAAGCAGCGTGGGATCGTTTTCCAATTGTTCCAAACAGTCTTCTGATTTCATCTTCCTGATTTCGTAATGAGCACCACGAACACACGTTTACTCAACACGACACAGCAGGGGAACTAAACGAGCTAGAGCGATGGCAAATATATCAAAGGAGAGGAGACGCATGACGGGAAATAATCAGTAATATAATCAGTCTCATTACTTATTTGTCATACCTCGTAGTCGGATAACCAATCTTAGAAATATAAGAGTATATAGAGACATACAGCTACTTCCAAAAACGAAACGAAGGCCTGCCGGGTGCTTTGCGTTATCTATTGGAACTCATTTTTACACATACAGACATAGATACGGGTATATGCACCAAGGCACATGAAAAATTGCAGTATTTCTATTTCTTTATCTTTGCACAACACATATACAGCCATGGTCATGCAAATAGCACAACTTTTCTTCCGATACAAAATAATGAAACAAAGGGATTTCTGTGCTTAAAATATGAAAATATTGTAACGAAGTGTTCACTCTGTTATTATTTAACACAACCTTTATACAAAAACTTAAAAATAATTCAATGAAAATTTAAAATAATCCAAAGTTTGAGGTTCCCAATGAAATGCTCTGGTCACGCAAATAGCACATTTTGCAAAACTTGTAATTATAATTTCAAATATGCCAGATAATTTAGCATAATTAGTCTTAAACAGATCTTATCTATTAGTATTTTGTAGTATATCCACGATTTTTAATAACAGCTTCACATCTGCGTCCCATGCTTTTAACAAGTTTCTCATATTTTACTTGTGGTATGAAGTACCACTCTTCCTTGACGCTTTCCCACAAATCATCGAATTTTTTGCAGATATTTTTGTTTTAACATCGTTCCATAAATTTTCTATTGGGTTCAGGTCTGGGCTTTGCGCAGGCCTATCTAAAACACGAATATTTTCCTTCTAAAGCCAATCTTGTGTGACCTTCGCGGCATGCTTAGGATCATTATCCTGCATAAAAGTCCAATTTAGTGGCATGGAGTCAAATACGAATGGTTTCATTTCATTCTTTAAGATGTCCAGATATTGATATTTGTCCATTTTTCCATTTATTCGCACAATTGGTCCTACGCCATGCCAGGAAAATGCCCCTCAAATCAAGATACTACGGCCTGCATGTTTTATGGTCTTTTTGATGTACCTAGGATTCAAATCTTGACCTCTTTGACTATGAAATGTGATTTTCCCATCTGGCTCCATTCTACTTATTTTAGTGTCATCGGTCCATAATACATTTTTCCAAAAACTTAGCGCCCGGTTCTCAGGTGTCTTAGCAAACTTTAACCGTTTTTCTATATGCTCTTTTGACAGGAGTGCTTTTTTGTGGGTAATGCGTCCAAAGAGCTGTGCCTTATTTAAACGCCTTCCGACATGGCTTCTTGATATAGTCAAATCAAATTCTTCATTTATTTTCAGGATTTTTTGCCTAGACAATTTAACAGGACCTGCTTCTTCTTTCGTATTTTGGCGCTGTCTTCAAAACTTGTTGTCTTGCGCGGATCAGGTCCCTTGGATTTATTTTGGAATAGATAATCTTCACTCTCTTGAACCAGTTTAAAAACATTCTGTACTATTTTACGGGAATAATTCAAGAAAACTGCAATTTTTGAAACACTTTTTCCTGTCTTAGCGATGTTATGAGTAATGATTCTTTTTTAAGGAGTACAGTGTTTACCGCAACTCATTTTAGTTTAATTTGCGTAAATTTTGATAGAATTGAACTTTAAATGTAATTAAATTTCGCTCAAAATAAATAAAAAGGTACTTTCAAGATCCAACCGATGGCTGTGCTATTTGCGTGACCACCATATAAATCGACGAAAAATGTACGGTTGCTAGATAATATAAAACTAACTATAATAAATTTGTTTATTCAGAAAAATACCGTTTTTTTTTTGTCAGAAGAGTTACATATTCTTGAATGATACACTTAGTGCTATTTGCGTGACCATGGCTGTATGTACGTATGTATGAGTATGTATTCACCTATTAGTTATTTCCAATTTTTGATACTGCAGATAACGGCATCGCAAGCTGCTTCGTACATTTATTGTTCCTCGAATAAATTCAGAAGTCCGATTGCAACTTAAACAGTTCAGATTTAGAATGTACGGTTTTGAGAAATATTGGACATTTGTATTCCCATTGCTGTTCACATTATTCATTACAGTACAAAATAAAAATTTGGAAATTGGTAAAGTTACAACAATAAAAAGTGAAACATAAGTAATCAGTACATTATTTTTATTGTAAATAAAAGGTGAAACTTGCAAGTGTCAAAGTAAATTTTGTACTTGCTTGGAGTTCAGCGATTGTGATGTGCTAATCGAATCACGCGAAATAAGTTATTGTAATAGAAGAAAAGGAATTGTTTGTTGTCCCGAGGAGGAAGTCATCACATTTCAACCAAAATTACGCTCAGAGTTGGGTGAGTATTAAGTATTGTTGAACACTTAGGTAGCGACAAACGGCGACTGTTAAAGTTAAAGACAAAAACACGTATGGAAGCGCTTAACTAGAAGTCGGTACGACAAAGGATGACACATCTGCAAGCCGTCGCCTGCTTGTGTAAAATGAAGAATTGTCAGACTATAAATGACTAGTTTGCCTCTCATTACTACAGAGTTTATTCACCTGCTCAATTGTGAGTGTTATCTGAATCTCGTAAAATAGAATTTGGAGGGAAAATAATTATAGATACGATTTCGAGTAAGTCACTCCTCTGGTAAAGATCTTGTAGAGATCTAACTATGTATCGACTTCCAAGTAACTCACAAGTAGGAGTAGCTCCCCTACTAATCTTAGCAAAATGTGGCTTTTTGTACAGAACAGGCGGCATATGTTCAGAATTTCGAAGTAAACAGACCCATACGAGGTGTGCTCAGAAAATATCCGTTATTTTCAAATTTCGTGAGTTACGTATTGTTGCGAAAACGAAAGGCGAATATCAGATGAAAGAGAGAAGCCGATAACTAGTACATTCTAGAAACGATAAAACAAGAACCTTCGATAGCGAACAATTCGATGCTTCTACGCTTTCGTCTGCGAGCAGCCGATTGCTATATAAGGGGACACTCATTTGCCAAGTTAAGTTAGTTACAAAGTGAACTGGTTGGCGTTAACATCAGTAAAGTCGGAAAGTAAACGCGTTGGAGATTACATTTAAGTAGAGTAAATTGTGAAGGTTGATGTTAGTGTTTGTAAATAGTAAAGTGCATTGTAATTGAATTGTGAATTACGAAATAAATAAAGGACATTAGATAAAATCTTTATAACGAAAGATACTGCACATTAAGTTGGCGAGTTTTTATTTAACAATCCAGAGATCGTACCCGAAGGATTCAGAAAATAATCGAGGTTAATTTAGTAAAATCGTAACAGTATGCTCAATTTTCGCTTTTTTCTGTTATGTTGGTACACATGTCTGTTATAAAGGGTGATTTTTAAGTTATTATCTTTTTGACAACACTAGTTTAAACTGCCGACGCACTTTTCTTGTTTTGTATCACTGTCAAACAACTTCAGTTTGATTTATAATTTAACCATGAATCGTCTTTCAACCGAACAACGCTTGCAGATTATTGAATTTTATTATCAAAATGCGCGCTCTGTTAAGAAAGCTCATAGCGCCCTTCTTCTTCCCTTTTATGGTCAGTTTAATCAGCCCACTGAAACGGCTATTCGGGCTATTGTGACTAAATTTTGCACCAAATTTACATTGTTGGACATTAAACCACCAACACGCTTACGTAGAATGCGATTTGAAGAAGATATCGCAGCTGTATCGGACAGTGTTAATGATGGCCATCAATATCGATTCGTCGCCGTTCGCAGCATTGGGCCTCTGTTACTCAACAACGTGGAAAATTTTGCGGAAGAATTTGAGTGTGAAGCTTTTCAAAATACAGCTGGTGAAAGAATTAAAGCCGAACGACTTACCGCAACACAGAATTTTTGGTGAATGTGCTTTTAGAAAGTCGGCCGCAGATCGACTTTTTATCGAAAAATTGTGCTGAGCGACGAAGCTCATTTTAGACTTAAAGGGTGCGTAAATAAGCAAAATTGTCGATTTTGGAGTAAAGATCAGTCAGAAGCATTGCAAGAGCTACCAATGCATCCAGAAAAAAACACAGTTTAGTGCGCTTTATGGAGTGATGGCATCAAAAATGATGCGAATCGTAACGTAACTGTGAATGGTGAGCGCTACCGTGAGATAATATCAAACTTTTTTTTGCCCGAAATGCAAGAGCTTGACTAGTATGACAACAAGACGTGCCACATGCCACACAGCACGCGTAACAATGGACTTATTAAGAAGCGAGTTCGGTGAAAATTTTATTTCATGTTCGAGACCGGTCAATTGGCCGCCTAGATCGTGCGATTTAACGCCTTTAGACTATTTTTTGTAGGGCTACATTAAAACTAATGTCTATACAGAAAAGCTTGCTTCAATAGTCTCATTGGAAGACAACATTGAAGCATTTATTCGTGATATACCGGCCGCAATGTTGGACTAAGCGGATGAACCACTTGAGGCGCAGCCACGGTCAACATTTGCATTAAATAATCACCAAACATCAAATTAAATGGACAGTATTATCAATTCAAATAAAGACTTCATGCATTTTTCTGAATTTTATGAGTTCTTTTTTTTTTTTTTTTTTGGAAAATTTTCCTATTTCCTCTAAAAATCACCCTTTATATGTTAGAAATATCAGCCGTTTTGGGTTTACAGTTTATTTTTGAGAGATAAAAAGGTTAGTCGTGTTTTGGTGTGCTCCTCTATTCTTGAATGAACAACGACATTTGAAATGTTGACTGTGGCTTTTGGCGAGTCTACAATGAGCAGAACATAAGTTCAATTGTGGTATAACCGGTTTAAGGAAGGTCGGAAGATGTCAATGGCAATGCTCGTCCTGGTCGCCCGAGCACGTCAACAACCGATGAAAACATTGAAGCAGTGAAGAAAATGACTTTGGATCATCGCCGAATCACTATCAGAGAGGTTGCTGATGATGTTGGCAGGCATATCGTTCGGCTCATGTCAGGCAATTTTCACGGAATTGTGGAAAAAACAATCCTGGATTTCGAGTCCTGAAAACGCACCAGCTCACACATCGCTGTTTGTGCGTGAGTTTTTTGGCCAAAAACAAAACCGTTATCATGCCTCAACCACCGTATTCATCGGATTTGGCCCCCGCTGACTTTTATTTATTATTATTGAGGAGATAAAAGAAAAATCGAAACAGGAGCTTTTGGCGATACCAAAAACACGTTTCGAGGATTGAAAAAAACGCCGGTATAAGTTTATTATATCTGAGGGGGGAAAATAGTTATTGATGAGCAAATAAATACTTTTTGAAAAAATTTAAAATAACGGTTATTTTCTTATCACACCTACAATCTTCCGCGTAGTTTCGGAGCTCACTGATCTCATAATAGTGATCCGACTACTGGAGACATGATCGATTTGGTTGGATGGTTTTCAATTCGGCTTTATGAATTCCGGTATTACAGACAACCATATTTCGGGCCCAGTCAAAATCGATAAGCCTCACGCCATCTGCGGTTGTGGTGGCTGAATTACCTGTTTGTTGTGCCAAAACTGCCCTCTAGTCGCATACTTTGAGTCGCTGAATGTTGGACGATATTTTTGTTAGACAAGAAATCGTCTTTGACGCACAGTAAAACCGTGCCGTTGCCTAAGTGTTTAAAGCTTTAATGTATCTGACATTGCACAGTGGCCGATCTTGCAAGGAATCAATAAAGAAAAGTAAAATTTGCCAGTCATCTCAGCAAATATCATTGAAGATCAATGACCCAGTTTTTATATAACTCGCACTGGGTATTACGTTTCCTTCACAGAAATCGTAGTATATCTCTTAAGTTCCTAATATGAAATTGTCTGATTTCAAATCTATAAGAAGCCGGGGGTAACGTATTCAAGAAATTGATCGTACGCACAAATAACCTTGGTAGAATAACACGAATAACACAGATATGGACTCCAACTTTTCTTGAAATTAAAAATATAGTCTCAAAATATGAACGAATGGAATCGAACAGGAATGAATTTACTGTGTTTTGTTGTTAGTTTTGGCAAAATTTCAGATTTTTTTTTCCATATTTAGCCTGAAAAATCGACCACTGTGCATTGGTTAGTGTTGTTCAATATGTTTTTAATGAATATTACTTTTAGCTTGCGAAAAATTTACAAATTTAATAACAAAAGAATGCCCAAGAAATTTTATAGCTGGGGGATCAAAGGCTTCTTCAAAAGAATTCCCTCCAGCTGCTTTGATTGGCTTCTTCGAAGAGGAGACAAATAGCACCATTTGGTTCTGTGGTGGAACGCTGATCAGTGAACGTTTTGTTTTGACAGCGAGTCATTGTGCTGGAAGGTAGGTAGTACACCTAATTTTCTTTTTACAAGATGCACTCGGCATACCTTTGCATCTGTTGCATCTGTTTACATAGCTAGTTCCAACTCAAATATCGATACGGTAAGAGAAAATATAACCGACATCCATATAAAGTCCAGCTCACACAACGATTCACAACGTCATAAATACGGCGATTTTTCGAATAAAAATAATATTAAAATAATTGTCGCATTTGGAGCTCCGAGAAAACTCAAGTAAAAAAACTTACCGTCTGTTGCACTCTTTGGTCCGGAGGTTGGGTTGGACCTACTTCTTTGGAAAGACAACGGCGAGACTATACTGCCAAATCCGGGCGACTTTTTGGTTTCAACCAGAAGAAAGCTATATGTCACGAATTTCCCGGCCGCGTAATCTTTCGTCTTGGCGTGGCTATTGAGAACCAACAATCGTCAATTTATGGCTGAGATGTGCAAAAAATTGGTCAAAATTATCTCAAGCTCACCGACATTTGCAAAACTTCAAGGGGTTGGACGTGTGAATGATCAAGTGTCTCATTATTCAAAATTTATAATAAAAAGACATGGCAAAAATTTATTTTAAATGCACTTTATTTAGGTTCATTTTCAAAACCGCTAAGTGAATAACCCTGTATTAGAGGTATACGCATATCCTATGAAAACTTTGCAAATCCACTGTAGATACACCGTGGAGGAATTTTTTGTTGTAAGGTTGGTGGGATTGACAAGGGTTCATCTACTACGAGCTGCCCCCTATGGCCAAACGCTCAATTTGGCCCTGTACTGTCAACAAATGGGCGACTTGAAGGCAGCACTCATTCAGAAGAGGCCATCTTTGATCAACATAGGCCGAATTGTGTTCCATAAGGACAACTCCAGGCCACACAGGAGCTCAGATAGAAGGTCGTAATGCACTCACCTTACAGTCCGGACCTGACACTAAGTGATTATCATCTTTGTCTGTACATGGGGAACGCATTTAGTGGTCAAAAGTTGGCTGTGAAAATTGTCTCTCCGATATTTTCGCCAATATGGACAGAGCCTTCTACGGGAGGGGTATAATGAAGTTTGCATCTCATTAGCAACAAGTTTATGAACAAAACGCATATTTGACTTAAATTCGACAAATGTGGACAAAGTTATCATATTTTGAAAAATCACTAGAAAAAAAACCGAACGAACTTTTTACATTACCTAATACACACTCGTATGTATGAATTTATGTTTGTTTATACAATGTAAAGAATGTAATCAAAGCTGATTTATTTTGGTGTCCATGCTGCTGCACAGCTCTGTTCTGTTCGTCCGACAAGAATGATGAAAATTGCATAAAAAGGGAGAGAGAAGGTCTCACGTGTACAAATGTAAACATCAGTTTCGTCATTTCGGTCTTAAAAAAGTGAGGGAAAATCGTTCTACGAACTTACCGAGTATGTCGTCAGGCAATCCTGGCAATCTTGGCTTAAATGATAGGAAGCATACTTGTAGGAAAGTTTGGGTATAGGATATTTCTCCTTTCCTAGCTATTTTTTCACATGAGTTTCGTTGTTGTGCCATTGCACGGATAAGAAAACTGTGAATTTCTTACACTAAACGACTAATAAATTCAGTTGTTTTAGCTTTGTCCGTCCGTTCGTCTGTTTGTACACAAACTAATCTCTCAGTTCTCGGGAAATTTCATCCAAACATACCTGAAGCATTTAAACATTAGTTTCGGAACCGGTTCGGACCACTTTAGCATACATACAACTGGTTCTTCTGACTTAAGATTTCGGATGATAAATGTGTAAAAACAAAACATCGAAAAGCGTGAAATTTAATATTCTTCAGACCATCAACCGACTTGTTCCGAACTGAAGTTTTTTGGAAGAAATCTGTTAACAAAACAAACAACTACATGCGTGAGAATTATAAGTAAACATAAGCACCAAAAATCATTTTCGTAACCATACCACAATATTTTGTAAATATAATAAAATAATATGTACAGTGGCTCATACTAAAAACCGAACAACTTCAAATTTACCATCGTACTGCTTTTCGTTTATGCCTTTTATACGCTGTAGATGAGTGAATATCACAAAAATGAGAAACATTCCAAATATTTAGTATTTACATCAACTGAAAGTGCAGCACGGTAGTAAATGTTGCGCTGTGCGGTTTTGAATGTAAGTCACTGTGAAACGAGTAGAAATAAAATATCCTCCCTAATGAAAACCTACCTTTTTTCATGTTTCCAGTGGAGATCCGAATATAGTACGACTTGGCGATTTGGATTACAGCACAACTGAAGATGATGTTGGACTTCAGGAGTTTTCAGTCAGCAGAGTTATTCCTCACGGAAGATACGATGCAGCAAATTACTACGATATAATGCTATTAGAATTGGCAGGCACAGTTAATTTCACGGATTACGTTCAACCCGCCTGCATATTAACACCAAAGCTAATGGATTATAATACAGGTGTCTTCTGGGCCGTTGGTTGGGGTAGCGTAGATAGCTCAGGAATTATGTCAAAACATTTGCGACGAGTAGAACTGAAACAAATGGAAAACTGTAGTGAAATCGCCAATAAGACATTGAGTTTGGAACGTGGGCTTCAGGAGCGTACACAATTTTGCGCACATGGGAAAATATACGACACCTGCAAAGGTGACTCTGGCGGCCCCTTACTTGCTACTTTCCCCCATTATGAGACGACTTATAAATGTCTCTATATAGTTGCCGGTGTTGTATCAAGAGGACAAGTTGATTGTGGGAAATATGATTATCCAAGTCTTAATACAAATGTTACGGCTTTCATTCGATACATTGAAAACTATGTGTGGCCGGAGACTATTTAGCTGCTTATAATTGCTTATTATAATAAATATTTTTAATAACTGTGGTCTTAATGTATTTTAATTGTACGCCTTTGAAATATTTTCGTATGCCTAATAATGAAGTGGCCCTTCTTTTAATATAATAATAATCACCCCAACCGACACGAGAGGCGACATCCGCATAACGTACGGAATATGCCGAGTCATGATAGGGAAACGTCGAGATTTAAAACTGTTTAGCTACAGAAAATGTTTAGTAATTATGGAACTTTAAAATCTAATCGTTGAGAGAAGTGAGAATAGTTTTTTTGATGCTGAAAAGTGAGTCTGGGAGATCGAAGGTGCAGGAATGAAAGTTTAAATTGCGACATAATCGACGAAAAGGTTCATTTAACTCGTTATTTGTTTTACATGACTTTAATAGTAAAGCCCTAAACTGTCTAGAGACACGAGTAGGAGCATTAGCACCTCAGATACGAGCCATTAACTACAAATCGATCCGTTAAGAAGTTTCACTACGAACAATGCGCCTAACATTTCTCTGCGTCTTGCGAGTGCAGGTTGATTTAGAAGCTTTAAATGGTTGGTATATGAAGAAGATTTTTCGTAGGGTTCCATCTGAAATCTCTTAACGCAAAGAGTAAAAATTGTTTTAAAACAGTCTCTAACTCATCATAATGAACTTGATAATTGGTGTTCCATATGAGCGAACCAAATTCTATTATTGGTTTCACCAAAGTCGTATACAGTGCTTTAGTTACATAAGGGCCTTTAAACTCTTTTGATAACCTTTTGACGAAGGCGAAAGCATTTTCAGCTTTTAAGGCAGTATTATTGATATGATAACCAAGATAATTACCTTAAGGAACTCCTGATGAGACGATATTGATTAATTGTTATAAAGTGTCAACAAGTATAAGTGTTACACGTTATGTTATGTTGCAGAGATACGAGGAACCCCATTGTAGAAATATAATATTATCTTAAAGCCCAGAAGATCTAGTTTATGGATGGGAATTGAGCGATTAACCCTAAGACATGCTTTCCTAAAGTCGGTGTAGATAACGTCAGTTTGCTTATTATCTCTAAATGCTTCAGAGATATTTATGTGACACAAATTCAAGCAAATTTGTAAGTGTTGATTTTCATTTATAAAACTCTTGTTGAGAATTGGATAGAAGTGAGGAGGTCGAAAACGTTATTTGACTACCCTGCAAGAAAGCTTCCAATCAGTTGAGCCAACACATGTCACATTCTTAAGGCCAAAATGACATTCATTTATTTTCATCATTCTTGTCGGACAAACAGAACACAGCTGAGTGACAGCATTGATACCAAAATACCGAATAAGCCGAACACAGATGAGCGACAGCATTGATGCCGAAGTAAATCATATTTGACAAAAATTTTCTCTACATACATAAAAGCATTATTAAGATTCAAGCTTTATTTCAATATTTTACATAAATAATGTATGTACATGTTTACATAATAAATCCGTTTTCGAAAATCATTCAAAAAATATTATAAGCAAAACCGCATATACAGAAGTTTTTACTAGCGACATGAGTTGGTGACGCAGCTCCTCAGCTCCACGAACACCTCCGTCATAATCGCGGGTCCTTTGTATAAAGATGTCTAAGTAAAATAAAAAAATTAATATTCGAAACAGAATGTTATTAATATTCAAATGCAGTTGTACCTCGCACAGTTTTATTGAATATTTTTAAATCTTCTGTTGCTGTTGCTGTTGCTGCAAAGTGAGAAGCGTCCATTCCAGTCCATCTGCTCCATTAGCTGAATTTTCCGTACAATTTGCAGTACCCTTAAATAAAAATAATGTAAAGATAGTATTACCAGTAGTATTACCACAGCTTGTACAGGATCTTCATCATATATTTTTCACTTCTATCTGCTGCGGAGAAAACGATAAAAAAAAAATGGCGTTCCACTCGAAAATAAGAACAAAGAAAATCGGATAATCCGTTCAACTGCATTTTCTTTCAGTTTGTATGTACTTAGAAGAGAAAGATAAACAGAGCCACTTGCCAGGATAACATAGAGAAGGTGCAAGTACAGATCAAAGTGGAAATTGTCAAAAAGCACGATTACTTCGTTTCACGTAATCGTACCACACTCCTCACATGATTCGCAAAATTTGCTGTTAATTAATAGAATTGAGCGTAACAGTATCTTACTTTGTAAACAGATAACATTGATAAAAAAATATCGCGAAATTTGTCGACGGCATTTTAATTTTTGCATATGTACATTTATACGCCTAACTCAATTTAATTTGAAATTGAAATATCATCACCATCGTTTTCAAAAGACCAATATCTCCATCGTACTTTATAATTCATGGTTGTATTCCTAGTAGAACGTAAATTATTCATATAAAACCTACCAAAATTTGATTGGGAGACATATGGAAGGCTGAACTTTTCATGGAATCACATTAGTATATGGAAAAATGCGTTTTATCTGTTTTCGCAATAAATAAGCAGATTGATTTCCAAAATAAATGAATATAAACATACATATATACATACATATGAATATTATTTTTATTTGTAGCAAATATATAAACTTATTCATTAGAGCAAGGGATGTATATGTATGTATGTAAGTGCCTCTGTTATCCACATACAGAAACTCACATATTTTCATACATACATATGTGTATAGTAAAATATTTGAAAAAGTTTTCATTCATAAACGCATGTGCCATACAATAAAGCAAAATGCTTTCATTCATAAGGCCCGTCGAACAGTTCGAGTAGAATTGAAAAATAGATACTCGGATGATATTTATATGTTACGTTGTTTACAACATTTTGATTCTTTTCAAGCTAACAAGTATAGAGACGGAGGGACAGACATTCTTAAATCTATTGTTGCGAAAATGCGAGGCAAATGTCAGATGAAAGAGAGAAGCCGATAACTAGTACGTTCTAGAAACGATAAAACAAGAACCTTCCGTAGCGAACAATTCGATGCTTCTACGCTTTCGTCTGCGAGCAGCCGACTGCTATATAAAGGCGACACTCAGCTGCAAGTCAAGCAGTGACAAAGCAAATTGGTTGGCGTTAACATCAGTGAAGACGTAAAGTGAACGCGTTGGGAATTACATTTAAGTAGAGTAAATTGTGAAAGTTGATGTTAGTGATTATAAATAGTAAAGTGCAGTATAATTGAATTGTGAATTACTGAGAAAATAAAGGACATTAGATTAATTCTTTATAAAGAAAGAAACTGCAAATTAAGTTGGCGAGTTTTTATTTAACAATCCAGAGATCGTACCCGAAGGATCTAGAAAATAATCGAGGTTGATTTAGTAAAATCGTAACACTATTTATCTCATCATTCCATGAAGTTTTTTACAGTTTGAGGTCTATACCTACCTCAATTATTTTCGAACTGTTTGCAGAACAAAACTATTACTCTGCGCGCATAGTATAGCCGGGTAAAAGAAGTCCAGTAACAATTCTGCGGCATGAACGTTCTCTTCTAGCATTGCTTAAAATTTTTGCAGAGTTGAATAAAATCGTTATGTTATACGTTCTCTGCACTTGCTTATGCGTTAGTGCTGTCTTAAATCGTGTGAGTGTATTGGTGAACCCAGCAGAACGTTCTTGCAGGGTAGTAATGATTGCCTCAAAAAGCTTCGGTATAGCGGATATTTTTGCAACACCACCCAATATTAGACCTATAACCACTCTCATGTAAAGATACTATAACAGACTGCTGCCATATTGTAGGGCACACACCTTGTTTGAGAAAGTAACTAATATGTTGAGTTAAAGGCAAATATCGGACCATTACTGAATGTTTTGTTATATTTCAGATTAATCAAATGACATAATACATTTTCCTCAGAAATAGTTGGTAATTTAATTATAATTATTGTTATAGAACGTAAGTAATGCTGACAGACGGACAAACCACTTCGCGAGTTAGTATTTATACTATCATATGACGTAGTAGATTTGTATCCCATGGCCGGTGGAATGGTAGAAAGCTTACGCTTGGACTTAACAAAATCGTAGAACAGCTTTGGAGTATGTAAAATATTTTTCTTAACTTCAGTTATATAATCATTATAACATATTTTTTTTAGTTCAGTTCAGCCTAAAATTATGAGCCGAGCTCACAGCACTTTGCTGGTCCTTACCGGTGAGATTCAAAATATGTTATGGTAAAGCTATTCCATCGTCATTGATTGTGGATATCGACGGCAATAAGACACCCTTCATCAAAGCTAGGAGAATATATTCAATATTCTGGGCGATCACTTTGAAATTCGATATTGTCTGTAGCTGGAGAAAACAGAGCAAGTGTCGACGATATACAACGTGTGGGAAAACCAAAAAAAAATTCAAAGAATTGTTTGACAACTAGCGTGCTTACAGATTTTGAGCGATCGATACCATTTTGAGAGATGTTTTGCTTCCAAAAATACTGATTTTTTTTATTTTTTTTTTTTTTTTGAAAAAGACCGTCTCACATTGCATAAATTCTTGATGATTTTTCCACCAAAAATTCAATTCACAATTTCCGCACTCCGGCTCCGTTTCACTTCTGGCCATTCAACGAACCCGAAATGACACGGGGAAAACATTTTAAGTCGATTGAGAAGATTAAACGAGATTCGATAAAGAATTTCTTTAGGAGAATTAATTAATATAAAATATTTTTCTAGAGTTGGAAATTTGTTAGCATCTTAGAAAATGTGCGCCTGTACTACAATATAATAATGGACATCTAATTTGCTTCCATCCTCTTAAATTTATCGCCATCCTCTTTATAGGTCACCATCTATCAGGGCAGCGAAGGCCAAAGGGAATGAGGCTTAAAGTAACTGGTATGAGGAAGCATAAACAGAGGAGATTAATTTTACTCAACTAGCAAGTGTCATCACAATTATGTCATAATCCTAATAATAATAATATCTTCTGGCCCAAGGTTTCGGACCATATTTGGGTTAAGGATTTTTAAAGTACATTGGAAGCCCTAAGATAGAAGTAAATTCTGATGCAACTCTTAGTCAGCTGTTTATTTCTCATAATCGCGAAATATGCCGATAATGAAATCAACTATCAAAACCTGAAAGAAATTCTATAAAATAACCTTATTATTGATGTAATTCATAATTTGAGAAAAAATTATAATAATGAAAGAATATCCTCGTTTTACGTCAGCACTGCGGGCGAATACCGATTTGGAAGCTAAACTGCCTCAATCGGCTCAATCAGATCCACGAAAAATACATCAAGAGTGAGTGAACACAGCTGTTAAGTACAAATCGCATTTTGCATACGTCAGATTGTATAGGCAAAAACCAAATTTGATATAAAAAATTAATTTTAATTTCTGTACCTCATCTTTCAGTGAAATCGCACAGCGACAAACTTTGACGAAAATATTGGAGCAGTTTCCATTAGAAAAGCAGGAACAAGCAAAAGTAAATCTCCTAAAGTTAAGAAGTATAGTTCAAGAATGCATGGGCTTCGAAGAACAACCACAAGTAGTGGAGCACGCTACACTCTTCCTGTTCTGGCTGCTATTAGATCAGCGCGTAGTGACGGTAGCGTCGAAAATGCGTGTACGCAGCATGTTCGGCAGTATATTCGAAAAAAAGTTTACAAAAATGCAGGAATGTGTAGCTGATATACGGGAACTCATCGAAGACTATCAAATTGAAGCTTTAAAGAATTGGAATCGAAAAACAAATCGCGATGCACTAGATAAGAAAAGCTGGGGTACAAATATCCGCATACGTTTGAAAGGACCCCCTCTTGTTGATTTACAACAATTGCAAGATCTTGCGCCTAACGCACAAATGCACAAAAATGCGGCTGTTAATTTCAGTATGCAATGGAATCAAGATAGCGAAACACAAAAAACTGAAGAAGAGGAAAACGAATTATCGCAATTGTTGGAAATATCAATAGCTTCCGGTGATCCAAAAATCATAGCAAAAGTAAGCGAACAATTAAATTCTAAACGCAGTAACAACGAATTACAAAATGAACTCATCGAACTCCTGGGATTCGAAAGATTCGATTTGGTGTTACAGTTACTAGAAAAACGTACCACAATCGCTGCACAGTTGGAGCAATATGAAAAGCGGGAACAACGATTGCAACTGAGCAAGTTAGCACAACAGCAGCGAAATACAGGCAACGCTGAAATGCGTCCCACAGTTGCGAAAACTGTAGTTGTACAATCTGCCTTAGAAAAAGAACTAAACAAGCAGAATCGTCGTGAAGGGAAAAAGCTGCAACGCATGTTGAACAGTATGAATCGAAACAATGAAGAGGATGATGAAGCCACTGCTCGTGCCCTCAATCCAACACAACTACGTCTGCAGCAACAGCGCAAATTACTTGAAAATGTGCAGCAACAGCCGATTCTAAAGACAACACAGCGCTTGCAAGAAATGCGTGCAGCAGCCAGCTACAACACTAACTTCATACAGTATCCATATGTGTTTGATAGCCAATTGAGTGCCAAACAACACGCAGGGTTCATAGGTGGCAACCGCATCAGTCTGCCGGACCATGCACAGCGCATAGATAATAAGCAGTATGAAGAAGTACAAATAGCAGCCAATGAACCACCACCACTTAGTATTGGTAATAACCGAATACAAATTTCGGAATTGGATGATATTGGAAAATTAGCATTTGAAAATTGCACCCAACTCAATCGCATACAATCTGTGGTATATCCAGTGGCCTATCATACCAACGAGAATATGTTGGTGTGTGCGCCCACAGGCGCCGGTAAAACCAATGTTGCTATGCTTACCATGGTCCATACAATACGTGCACATCTGGAAGAAGGTGTCATTAATCGTGACCAGTTCAAAATTGTCTATATAGCGCCGATGAAAGCTTTAGCTGCTGAGATGGTAGATAATTTTGGTAAACGGTTGAAGTCACTCAATATTGTAGTTAGAGAATTGACTGGTGATATGCAGCTATCCAAAACTGAAATGACACAGACACAGGTACTAGTCACAACACCGGAAAAGTGGGATGTGGTAACTAGAAAAGGTGAGCAAATATTAATTTCCTTACTAGGTATGTTGACTGATATGAAGTTTAATGTGTTTTCCTTATTTTACAAATAAAAGGCGCTGGTGATGTAGCACTCATTAGTTTAGTAAAATTACTTATCATCGACGAAGTACACCTTTTACACGGTGAACGTGGCCCAGTTGTGGAAGCGCTCGTCGCACGCACCCTGCGCCTCGTTGAGTCCTCCCAGAGTATGATCCGTATCGTAGGGCTGTCGGCTACTTTGCCGAATTATATCGATGTAGCTCATTTTCTCCGCGTAAATCCAATGAAAGGGTTGTTCTATTTCGATTCACGCTTTCGTCCTGTGCCTTTGGACACAAATTTCATTGGTGTAAAATCGGTAAAACCTCTGCAACAGCTTACGGATATGGACCAAATTTGCTATCAGAAATGTTTGGAAATGGTGAAAGAGGGCCATCAAATAATGGTTTTCGTCCATGCACGCAACGCTACTGTACGCACAGCCACTACTTTACGGGAATTGGCGCAGCAAAACAAAACCAGTTCGTTCTTTTTACCCAATGAATCATCGAATGGCTACAGTTTGGCGCAACGTGCTATACAAAAGAGTCGTAATAAGCAACTCGTCGAGCTGTTTTCCTGCGGTTTGGGCATACATCATGCAGGTATGCTGCGCTCTGATCGCCAGATGGTCGAAAAATATTTCGGTGAAGGTCACATTAAGGTGCTGGTGTGTACGGCGACATTGGCATGGGGCGTTAATTTGCCCGCCCATGCTGTTATTATTAAAGGTATGTTTGTTATGATTGGCGAATTGGTGAATTATATTTTATATATATCTATATTTTAGGCACTGATATATACGACTCTAAACACGGCTCATTCATTGACCTTGGCATTTTGGATGTGTTGCAGATTTTCGGTCGTGCTGGTCGGCCACAGTTCGATAAGAAAGGTGTTGGCACCATCATCACCACCTACGATAAGTTGAACCATTACTTATCACTTTTAACCAATCAGTTTCCAATTGAATCGAACTTCGTGCAATGTCTTGCCGATAATTTGAATGCCGAAATAACGCTGGGTACAATTTCAAATGTTGAAGAAGCTATTGAATGGCTAAGCTATACGTATCTCTTCGTTCGCATGCGCATTAATCCACATGTGTATGGTATCGAATATAGCGAACTACAAAAAGATTCTATGCTCGATTCAAAAAGACGCAGTCTCATTATGACAGCCGCTTTGAGTTTAGATAAAGCTCGCATGATACGTTTTAATCAACGCACAATGGACTTCAACATTACTGATTTGGGTCGAACAGCATCTCATTTTTATATAAAATATGACACAGTAGAGATTTTCAACGATCTATTAAAACCTTTTATGAATGAGGCTGAAATATTTGCAATGATTTCACAAGCTCAGGAGTTTCAACAGCTCAAAGTACGTGATGACGAACTAGAGGAATTGGATGAGCTGCGCACTTACTATTGCAAGGTTAAAGCGGCCGGAGGCAGCGAGAATCTCAGCGGCAAGGTAGGTGTATAGTGAAAAAAAAAAAACAAACAAAAAATTGGCTGATATAGTGTTGAAGATAAAATGAACTGTTATTAATTGAATCTAAAGGTATATTTTAAATGTTCCAAACCCTCTACCCTATAGGTCAACATACTTATGCAAACTTACCTCTCGCGCGGCTATGTTAAGTCTTTCTCACTCGTTTCCGATATGGCTTACATCGTTCAAAATATTGTAAGAATTACGCGCGCGCTTTTCTCCATAGTGCTGCGCAACAATAACGCTATATTGGCAACACGCCTTCTGCAGATATGCAAAATGTTCGAACGCCAGCAATGGGAATTTGAGACACCGTTACGTCAATTTTCTGCTATAAATGCTGAAACTATTGACAAACTAGAGCAGCGTGGCATCAGTCTTTATACGCTGCGCGAAATGGAACAAAACGAATTAAAGGAAATGTTGCGCAATCAGCGTAATGCTGAGTTGGTCCTGCGCTCGGCGCGTGAAGTACCTATGCTTGATGTCGAAGCAACACTACAGCCAATAACGAGAACTGTGCTGCGAATAAAGATTGATATTTGGGCGAATTTCAATTGGAATGATCGTGTTCACGGCAAAGTGAGTGAAAACTTTTGGCTCTGGATAGAAGATCCGGAATCAAACTTCATATATCACTCGGAACAATTTCAGGTACTTTTGAGCCCCTCATGTTAATATTTACACTGAAAGCTTACTTTTCTCCCTTCAGGCCACACGGAAGTTCGTCTACGGCGGTAAACCACAACAATTGGTTATGACGATACCACTAAAGGAGCCCCTGCCACCACAATATTATGTGCGTATTGCCAGTGACAATTGGCTTGGTAGCGCCACATGGACCGCGCTTTCCTTTAAGCACCTCGTTTTGCCCGAACACCATCCACCACTAACCGAGTTGTTACCGTTGCACCCGTTGCCCGTCTCTAGCTTAAAGAATCCACAATTCGAGTCACTATACAATTTTACGCACTTCAATCCGATTCAGACCCAGATCTTCCATTGTCTCTATCACACAGACAACAATGTGCTATTAGGCGCACCAACTGGCTCCGGCAAAACCATTGTTGCTGAAATTGCCATTTTTCGTGTCTTCAATAAGTACCCTCGTGCTAAAATAGTATATATTGCGCCTTTAAAGGCATTAGTCAAGGAGCGTATAAACGACTGGAAGCGTCGTTTTGAGCAACCACCATTGCGTTGGAAAGTTGTGGAGCTGACCGGTGATACAACGCCCGATATACAGGCCATTCGTGAAAGTCAAATCATTGTGACAACACCGGAGAAATGGGATGGTATAAGTCGCTCGTGGCAAACGCGTGAATACGTACAAGATGTGATATTAATTGTTATCGATGAGATACATTTGTTAGGTGAGGATCGTGGGCCGGTCATTGAGGTGATTGTTTCGCGTACTAATTTCATCACCTCCCACACGGGACGTAGAATACGTATAGTAGGCCTGTCAACGGCATTAGCCAATGCGCAAGACTTGGCGAATTGGCTGGGCATAAAGAAGATGGGCCTATACAACTTCAAGCCGTCGGTGCGGCCGGTTCCACTGCAGGTGCACATCAACGGACTTTCAGGTGAGCTCAAGTAAAGATGGATTGTTCTCTATAGTACACTTTTCTCTTAATCAGCATTTTTAAATTACCTTCAACTTTAATTTGTATTAAATTCCTTTTTTTATTTTCTTTACTTTCATCTCGTAGGTAAACACTATTGTCCCCGCATGGCCACTATGAATCGTCCAACCTTCCAGGCCATACGTACATACTCCCCTTGTGAACCGGCCATTGTTTTCGTCTCATCACGTCGACAGACACGTCTTACGGCACTGGATTTAATAACCTTCGTGGCCGGTGATGATAACCCAAAGCAATTTTTGCATTTGCCGGAGCATCAAATGCATCAAATACTACAACAAATTAAAGACTCGAATTTGAAATTCTGTCTGGCATTCGGCATCGGCTTGCATCATGCTGGTTTACAGGAACAAGATCGTAAAACAGTCGAAGAGTTATTTTTCAATCGAAAAATTCAAGTACTCATTGCAACTGCAACATTGGCTTGGGGTGTTAATTTGCCTGCACATTTAGTTGTTATTAAGGGAACTGAATATTTTGACGCCAAAGTGAAGAAATACGTCGACATGCCCATCACGGATGTGTTGCAAATGATGGGTCGCGCAGGTCGACCGCAATTCGATAACGAAGGTGTTGCTGTTGTGCTGGTGCACGATGAAAAAAAGAATTTCTATAAAAAATTCCTTTACGATCCATTCCCCGTTGAATCGAGCCTTTTGGGTGTCCTATCGGAACATGTAAATGCGGAAATCGTTTCTGGCACCGTACAAACCAAGCAAGCCGCACTTGACTACCTGACGTATACCTACTTCTTCCGACGTCTCTTGCGCAATCCAACTTATTATAATTTGGACGGTTTACAGCCAGAACAGCTGAACTTATTCCTTTCGTCGTTGATTGAACGTGTCGTTTATGAATTGGAATCGGCCGCTTGTGTTCTGCAAAACGAAAATATGCTTATACCGACATTCCTGGGTCGCATTGCATCCTTCTATTATTTATCTCATCGCACAATGAAACATTTCTTAGATGATTTAACCGAAGGCATGAGCACGAGCGAAGTGCTAGTCGCCATAGCGGACTCGTACGAATTTGATCAGCAGCCAGTACGCCACAATGAGGATAAATACAATGAGTAAGTGCTTAATGAAAATAACTAATAAGTCGTTGGAACTTAAACCAGTTGTAAGAGGATTTTTATTAAACAAAAACTTAACTTCATTTTCTATATTCCAATAATAGGGAATTAGCAGATTCATGCCGCTACCGTCCACCTGCTCCTACATGGGATTCGCCATATACGAAAACATTCTTGTTGCTGCAAGCTCATTTCTCACGGCTCTCACTGCCGAATTCGGATTTCCTAACCGATACGAAGTCGGCGTTAGACAATGCTACTCGAGTCATGCAAGCAATGGTCGATTACACAGCAGAGCGTGGTTGGCTTAGCACAACACTTCGATTGCAACAACTTATGCAAAGTGTTATACAAGCCCGTTGGTTTGATGAATCAGAATTCTTAACACTGCCAAATGTGACTGCTGCTAATGTGAGCGTATTCTATAATATAGAACACAGTTACTCATATCTTACTTTACCTGCATTGAAAGAGTTGTGTAGGCAGGATTACGAACGCCTCGCTGGTCCATTAAGAGACGTATTTGAGGAACAAGAAATCGAACAAATTTATAAGGTGCTTATAGCTATTAATTATAAATTAATATGAAAATATTTTTGAACCGTTTCTTTTCTTTTATAAGGTTGTTCAAGCTATACCCGAGATAAGTGTACAAATCTCTATACAAGGCAAATATTTTGAGAACATGGAAGCAATGCGTGTAATATCTACGACACCAACGACAGATAACTGGACCGAAATACATCCAAATGAGGTATATATATGGCATCATCAATGCATATCAGTCTATTATATCTATATGTTTTCCTTTACAACACTCTTCCTACATTTCCTCATAAACAGGACTATGTGCTCGTTATTGAAATGAAACGTTTAAATTGGAATTTGCGAGAACAACGATCACAGCATAGCAATCCCATAGGTGTACACTGCCCGAAATATCCTAAAGGAAAGAGTGAAGCTTGGTTCCTGACACTCGGTTCTCAAGCGAACTCCGAATTGCTCGCTATGAAGCGTGTTAGTGTGCGTGGTCAACGTGCCACTAATCGTATTTGCTTCCAATCGACACCTCGCCGTGGTCGCGTTATACTAACGCTATATCTGATCTCTGATTGTCTTATCGGTGTGGATCAGCAATTTGACTTGCAATTTGATGTGGTTGATGTAAAGACTTAAACATGAGATATCGTACTTAGCTTTCTCATACATATATACCATTTCTGGCAGATATTCCGAATACTGGAACGAATGTAGCTTAGAATAATGAGATTAGTTCTTTTGCTTACAATACAAATGTGGTCACTGCAAGTAAATGCAAGCTAAATCCTTCCAATGCGCACATTTATATACATACATACATATGTATTTCTAAATACGCATAAGTCTAATATAATAACTTTAGCAAGTAAAATTGTTTGTAATCAAAAAAGTATACTTATATGTATATAGGTACGACTCATTTATATTATCAGTACTAGATACATGTGTATTTCAATCTTTCTTTTTGAATTATAATTGAATGAAATTCTAATAAGTTAAAGTAAAAGTATAAAATAACCAATAATTTGATTAAATCAAGAACTTATTTCATAATAACCCCGGTTTTAATTCCAATAAGAACAGGTTAGTTATGGTTTACGAAAGTAAATTGTTAATTAAACCAAACAAGCAACTTCCTTCTCCTTTGTGTAGTTTTTTTGCAGCATTTGGGTCCGGCTCAATAAAATTTAAATATACCTGCTCCCCATTGAATTTTATTTTCCCCATAAAGTAATAATGTATTTCTGGTTTTTTTAGATATGATTTTACGGCAAGGGCTATTTGAGCCCAATAAACAAAATAAATTGATTAGATAAAAACATAACTCAGGAGATGTATATTTTTAAATTTAGCATAAACGTTTTGTAAATAATTGTATACAGAGTGCTCTTACCGAAATCATTAAAAATCTCTAAAAAAAAAAAGGGTAATTATTTAGGACAGCGGCTTTTGCTAAAACTGTCCAAAAATGATGGGGTTTTTTGCTAAATAGATGTATTTGATGATGGGTTTTGTAAAAATGTCAAACTTAGAACGTTGTATTTGCACTTAAATAAAATTTTAATCTATGTGGCAGCACACTTTAATACTTTCGGGACTTTCATGTCCAATACCCGACATGAAGTAAACAAAGTCTGACAAAACTGCCAATTGGAAATGTCAAAGCTGTGATGAAAACGAAGGTAGCGTCAACGTCAGCGATAGTGTACGTCAAATTTTGTTGAAGAGCAGTGGTCGTAGCCACATCAGCAACTGGATAGCATTTGGTAAATCCATCAAAACACTTGAAACGGTGCAACAGCAAATAAACATTTAGTGGCTCCACGATGGCGATAAAACCTGGCATGGGACGCAAGTCCAGCAGTAAGAATCCACCAATTTTAAGTCATGAATTTGTCATACAAAATCATGCGGACATCATATCCTGTGTTGCAATGATATTCGTTGTGGGACTCATGGACGAATCAACATCACCTTTTGCCAGCGCCTTCATTTCACTGCATCACAATGTGTCAGGTGAGGAACCCAGCCGTGAGAACCCACTCGGTAAGCCATTTAGCTACGTGGCAGGTATCAAGGATTACTGCGCAATCTTCTTTTATACATTAACATGCATTATTATGCATGCCATCATCCAAGAGTATATATTAGATAAAGTATCCAAGAAACTTCATCTATCCAAATTCAAACTTTCGCTGTTTAATGAATCTGGGCAACTAATTGTGTTTTATATATTCTCGTTCGTCATGGGCGCCAATGTGATACTACGCGAAGGATACTTAAGCAAATTTTCTCAGTTATGGGAGGGTTTCCCCAACCATCCGATGTCGTTCCAGCACAAACTGTTCTTTATTATTCAAATGGCGTACTACTTACACATGCTTCCTGAGCTCTATTTCCAGAAAGTGAAAAAAGAAGATCAACAAAGTAAAATCGTTCATTCCATTTGCGGATTTTCCATCGTTTGCATAGCATACACACTCAGTTTCCAACGCATTGCATTGGTATTGCTAACTCTGCATTACCTTGGTGAAACAGTGTCGCACATAATCCAACTGATTGGTGTTTTCGATCGTGATGAGAAACTTGTTAGTGTACGCCTCGTCAATAACGTAACCTTTGTTTTTGTACGATTCACGGCAATGGTAATTGGTGTTCTAACATTATACTATGGCGTTGCCGCAGAGAGTGCGCTGCGAGCTTATGCAGCCCTTGTCGGTCTAATGGCTTTGCAGGGTTATCTCATCTATTCTTTCATTACTGAAGAATTACGCGCTACACGAGAAGCAAAACGAGAGGCTAAACAACTGCAACAGCAACAACAAGCGAAGAAATCGAAAGCGGCGAAGGAAAAGGCGAAAAAAAAGAAGGAAAGTGATCTACCTGAGGCCGATCAGAGTCCCAGCCCTGTGAAGTCAAAGGCTAAATAAGCATTCCATGGCGAGTGCCAAATCAACTACGTCCACCAATAACATAAACAATAATATTCAATATTATCAAATATGCAAATGAGCTACTTTCCAAAATTTACCAGCTCATTTACATATGCATATGTATACATCTGTAGATATGTTCATCTATAAATTTTTGAAATTTCGAAATCAAATGTCTCCCGCGCAAACAAATTACAAACACACGTATTCGTACGTCAAAAAAAAAAGCTGGGTAAATAGCGCTTATATGATGTTACATACATATATAAATATACATATGTATGTAGTACATAATGGTAATGAGTTGAGAATGGGATATGAAAGCGATGACTGCATTTAATAAGTATATACAAAATTTCAAATCCAGATTGTGTACAAACTGATAAACAACAACAATATCTAAGCAAAAAAATCAAAAGCCTAAAGCCGCCGCCGCTGCCAACGCCGTCGTTGCTGCTGACGCTATTGCTAAATCTAAGGCATATTTTTTATTAAAATAAAATTAGTTATTTTTTCACTTTATTTTTGTACTTTTTAACTTAAAATGCTATTTTACATACTCGTTTCTACAGTAAACAAAAAACTATTAAAATAAAAAAGTCTAAAAAATCAATCGTTACTAGTGCAATGAATCAACAACTGTTGCTTCCATATTTGGTTAACTGTTTGAATTTAAAGTAAAATGTTTAAATTTACGCTGAGGATTTTATCAGCGAATATATAAAAATCTAATAACAAAACAAAAAACTAAAATATATTCCGCTATCATAAGCCCCAAAATACATATGTATATTCAAAATGCACACTGCATCGAAAAGCTAAATTTGTTTGAGACTGAATTAAGCTGAACTTGAAAATTGTGCTAGGGTTTTACGATCTAAATGCTGAACCATGACAAAGCCATACAATTAATGTAATTACATCACATATATGTACATGTGTGCATACATACGAACATATGTGTGGGCAAAGCCAACAAACAAAATGTTTGTACCGACAAAAAATTAAAATAAAAAGTTAATAAAATATGTTGAACATGAAAAGATCAATGAAAACATCTTAGTAAGGACTTTGATACTGGTATCCATAGAATAACTACTAAAGTGTTATAAGTAGTTTTAAGAGATTGTAAGCTTGCTTCAATATTTTTGTATTAATTATGCACAAATTTCAAGGAAAAAAATTTCCAAAAAAAAGCATTGAAAAAATTTCCCTTAACAAAATTTATTTTTTACTCTAAAAGAATGTTGTATGCATGCGTGCATACAAATGAAATTATACAACGCAGACCAAATCTGAACTAATCTGCGTGTCCTTATAAAAGCTCATAAAAATTTACTTTATATAAATTGCGAATAAACTTATTTCAAAAGGTATATGCAATGGTGAGTATGTACAATATTTAAGTTATACGAAAATACTTATTTAAAAGTTTAGAGCTCCAAAATGAGACCCCCGAAGTATGGCGCAAAGTTTTGCAAAAAAATGTATGTTCTGCCACCAGAAAGAGTTTCACCAACCTCATATGCCGATGATTGCACGATAATGTCGTCTCGCCAGGATATTGATGGCCTTTGTTCGAAAGTGAACTGCTATCTCGTCGTACTTCTTCAATTCAAGACAACTTAAAATACAATCGACGAAACCCTCGGCGACCTTCTTCACCAGCCTCTGATGTCGCCGGAGCATCACTTGCACAGCGAAGCATCTATGCTACGAGTTAAGGAGCATAATGCTTTGCTGTATAAGCAGTTGCTATTCGGATGTTACCGTAGGGAGCACCCCAATTGGCTTCTAATAGAAGCTGAACCTCCATCTAGGCACATCAGAGAGAGAGTACTAGACTTAAAAGACACAGTTCAGCAATACGTGCAACAACCGCTGGACAGCACAGCGTACAGACAAACACTGAACGCCATTCACCAGGAGTCAGTCAACACCTTCAAAGACTCCCTTTCTGTGGATAACGTACTCGGAGTTAAACCACCACCCATCGCAGACAACGAGCTCAAGCTGACTCGACCCGCGTGACCCTGGCACAGCTTAAGTGGGGCTATTATATTTAGCAGGTTCAACTCCTACCTATACGGTCGCGAGCCCAACATGCCGAACGTATAGCCCTAGCATGTAGAGTGTCTCCCGACGACACTAACCACCACTGCATATGCCCTCTTTAGCCGACACATTTAACCCCCCCTCCCCCCTTCTCTCCCTCTAAACAGCACGTTTCCTGAGCCTTCCGTTAGATGACCTCGGTGACTTAGATTGACTTTAAACCTGTCCCTAAGCGGGGTTAACGTAGCCGCTACTACTACAACAACAACAACATCGGAACCTGGTTCAGACTCGACCCCATCATAATCAACGTATGGCCAACATGTAATGTGTCCCCGCACGATACTAACAACCTCTTTACATGCCTCTGAAACCGACATTTCTAACCACTTTTCCCTTGGTCAGAACCCGTCGAAAATTGGAAACTAGTCAACTCTTTTCGACTCACCGGACCCCGCCCCCTTCAGGTCAACAGGTAACATTAGTCTCATCAGAACGGGCGTCGAACAAAATACTGGTCCGACGGATTATTTCTGCTGCATATGCTACAAACAACTCCATTTCAGTTAGATCCAACCAGTGCAATGGTTGAAGTCATCTTAAGTCTTGCTCAGGCCGCTGCCACCGCTCAAGTGCGTCCCACAGCTGGGGCAAGCGGGCGTAGAATTTTTCACCAAGATTCTATGGAAACCCTAAAAATACCCGAAATGTAGATAATGGGTAGGGCGGTCCCGCTACTTAAATCAGTCATATCGGCCGATATCTCTCCTCTCCTCAGTAGCAAAGACTCGTGAGGCCTTCCAATTCCCGATATTCCTTCTGTAAAATGCACATCACCACAACTGCACTTAATGCTTTAATCACCCAGGCCTTTACCAAAACCGCCCTTTCACGCGATCTGACCTGGTAGCACTGGGTCTGTCAAAAGCTTTTGACACTGTCAATCACTCGGTGCTACTATCGGACATTGAATAGTCCAAGACAATTACAATTACAACCAGCAAAAGCCTCGGCTACCCTCCGGAGGAAGGAGTACCGGCTGGAATTCGATGTGAAAGTCAATGGCGTAGAAATTCAAACTATAACAACCGAAAGTTAGTGGAAGCCACATTCGAAAGCCTACAGTTGGCATACGATTGTCGCAAAAAATCTGTTAATCAATTATAAAAACGGTTGGTAAGACCATTCACAAGGATTCAGTAAACTTCTTTCTAACTCTATTTTAGTACCCTCGGCAGTCACGTAAGACTCGAGTCATACGGTTACAGAGAGAGCCAACATATATCCATGCCTCCTGAATCCAACTCATCTAATACTTCAATACAATCGCCAGAGTAGTGTCAGATTTCAAAGTTTAATTTATTCTCAGGCGGTGTCATAAAAAGTAGACGATTTTGCAGACTCTGTGTTGGCGGAATTTCGGATCATTTTTCCTGACCGAGCGCGTTAGGGTCGATAAAAATATTGCGAAGAATTTTATTTTTTTTTAACGGAGTTGTTGACGAGTACTCCCGAATGAATTCAAATACGTTCTTTGTTATACGTTCTCTGAGTTAGATTCCAACACTATTGCCAACCTGAGATACTATTTTCAAAAACGCAGTCTGGCAACGCCATACACGCGTTTTAAAGCGCAGATAAAAGTTAATATTTTTCGTGTTAAAAAATATTAAAAATGTAGTTTTCATATTAAAAAAGTTAAAATTAACTTGCATTGTTTGCCAAGGAGCAAAAAGTGAAAAGCAAATACACTTTTGTGATACAAAAAATTAATAAGTAGAGTGAATACAATTCCAACGCATTTCCATAACAGTAAAATAAGAGTGACGTCTTTGCTATCTGACAAGAAAATGTTTAATTATCGTTTATTCTTGTCTAAATTTTTGTTATCGTCAACGATATACAAAGGTTCTAAAGCAGTATATTTGGCAGGCTGCTACAGTTAGTGCAGGTAGTAATCTTCAGTTTTGGAAGTAAAATCTTTATTGCGGGAGGGGGTAGTCGGAAAAATATAGTGGTCGTGATATAGCAGCAGCCGCAGTACACATTTGGCAAGTGTGTATCTGTGTGTGTGTACATCGCAGTATTTTTGCGGCATAAGGTAGCGGGTGAAGGAGGTGGACCGTCGTCTCTGTCTTATCAGTTCCGAGCTGAACGTTGACGCCAGTGGGCCGTTTATAGTAGCCTCAGTAGTAAAGTCAACGTACGGTTCAGTCGTATATGAATAGTGCCGGCCATACCGAAGGTCAAATGACGATATTTATTTACTGTAATTTTGGTAAATAAAATAAATCATTAAACTTCAAACATTTGAAAAAATATTATTATAGAGCAGATCGCGAAGTGCATATCACGCAAGCTTATAGCATAAAGTGCGTTTAATTAAAAAAAAAAAAACAACAACACAAACTATTGTTCTTTTTGGACATGACCGACAAGAATGCTGGTCATAATGGTACTCAGTGGACGAAAGCAACGGTTACCGGAGCAGCTGCTATTGCTGCACAACCACATAAATCACATAATTCCAGCTTACTCACTGGACCGCAACATCTCCTACATCAACCTCAACGTTTATACGATCCAGCAGCAATAATGCCAGCCCATAGCAGCATTTTTGGCGCAGGTGTCGGTGCCGCACTTGGCCATCCCGCGCATCCCGATGGTATAGCACCGTTCGCTGGTGCACGATTTCATCCACCACCTCTTCCAATACAACAGTCCACAATAGACGCAGCCAATATCACACATACAATTGTACACCAGCATTCCCAACATTCAACACAAATTACACAGCATCAAATGTCACCATCGCATACACCAACAACCATGCTAACAGCACCTGCTGCCGCTTCTCCCAGTGTACCTGTACAAAGTGGTTTTGTACCACCACCATTACTTCCAGCTTCAGCTACATCGGTGTTAACTCCAAACCCATTCGCAGTTACACCCCAGTTGGAACATCTAGCGCCACATTTGAATTTGCAACAACAATTAGAGTTGAATAAAATCATGACTGTAATGAGCTCAAGTAACACCGTGGGATCAGTAGGTGGAAACAACTCAAGCAGTTCAAGTCATCAGCAGCCAACACGCCACATGGTAATCGATGTGCCAATGTCCAGTACTGGGAGTAACAGTAATAACAGCTGCAGTAGTATTAATGCAACAGGGCCAGTTTCAGGGGCTATTAGTAGTACAATAACTGAAAATGTTCTAAATGCTATTAGCGCAGCTCCCAACAGCAGTGTAAGTGCAAGTGTGCCTGCGGTTCATGGTCGATTGACAGGCATAGGCGTGAGAATACCAGACGATGATCGCTTGCGACGTATACAAGAAGCCGTCGGAGCGGGAATAAGGTTAGTAAGGGATAATTTTGATAATTACTATCTTCTACTTATCAAATTATGCATTTACAGTGATTTGGCAAAACTACAAATACAACAAATTGTCGACCGTGTCTCTGTGTTGAAGCCAATGGAAAAGCTATTACTTTATTTGAGATTACCAGGAGAAGCTTCTGAAACAGGTAAATAGCAACGTAAAGCTGTAACATCATGCATATTAGTCAAAAGTTGCATAAGTTGTACTATAATTTTCATATTTTCTTTTAGATCCATTAAGGCATCCACAAAACCCGTTGGGTACTCGTTCTGAAATAAATCACACCATTAACTGGGTCCGTTCGCACTTGGAACATGATCCTAAAGTATCTATACCAAAACAAGACGTATATAATGATTACATGTAAGTAATTCATCTTTTTATCTGCTCAAATTTCAAATATTCTTTTGTTATAGAGCATATTGTGAACGGCTCGACATAAAGCCGCTTTCCACAGCAGATTTTGGAAAGGTGATGAAGCAGGTGTTTCCGGGCATTCGCCCACGCCGTTTAGGCACTCGTGGTCATTCTCGTTACTGCTACGCAGCTATGCGAAAAACTACCAAACTAGATGCACCGCAATTGCCTCTACTGGACACCGCTGCAGCCAATGAGTCATCATTAGTTGATGGAAGAAGTGATGACGGTCCTCCAGGAGAAGTTGCTCCGAGTAATCCTGATACCGAAACATGGCAAATTATCCGCAACTGGGCTGAAAGTATGTTAAATGTAAAAGTAGATAATGCTCAGGAGCTAGCTTCGCATATTAAATCCGTTAACGTTGGAAAAGAAATATCAGCAACTGCACGCTCCGGCGGTAGTACGACACATAAAAAGTATACTCCACGCGAACCGAAAGAGAAACGTTTAATGGTTGTAAGTTGATTTTTTTTTTTTATTGTTATCTTATTTGTATATAAATTCTAATTTAAAAATGATTCAACAGTTTAAGGACATGGGTCCATTGAAGAAACGTCGAAAGAAAAAACGTAAAGGCTCTTCATCATCTGAGTCTAGCTGCAGTCACATTTCACCTAAGGCTTCAGTACAACCGCAGACGCCTTTATCTGCTACAGATGCGCAGTCGGCCGACGTAAAGCCGGTATTAACCGGCGAATTGATACAGATTAAACAAGAAGTAGTAGATTCCCCTACAATGCAACGCGTGCAACATTTGCCAGCTGCCATTTCACAGCTACCACAAATTACAACTGCAAATGACACTTTCTTGCTACAGCAGCAACAGCAACAACGACAACAACAACAGCAACAACAACAAATGTTGCCAATGAATTTAGTGACAGAACAACGTACAGTGTTGGCACGTGCACCACCTGCCCCTAGTGCCTTTGGCGTAGTACATGCGCAAGTTCAAATACCGCAACAACGGCATCCTACTCGAAATATCTTAACGGGAGTTATGCCTAGTACATCGGCCGTTAAGAATCTAACACCGAAAATCATTGAGCTTGGCACAGCAGAATCGGCTGCAATGGCAACTACCGCCGTACAAGAACCGGCTACAGTCATTAAAGAAGAAGAATTTTTGGATGAGTACAATACAAATATATTTTGTAAGAAGGTACGTAAAGCTCAACAGACTAAAGGATTTTGGGCCAATTCACCTACTTGCGTGCCGAGTAATATCGCTGTGCCTAGCATAACAACTACTGCAGCACCTAGTGATGTAGACTCTTCATCAGTAACATTATCGGCTGTTGCAACATCAGTTATAGCTACATCTGCTATGTCTTCAACTCATGCTTCAGCAATTAACCCAGGCACAGAATCCACTCCCAGTGATTTAATGGGACCACCAGCACAAATTGGCAGTCATACATCTGTTAGTCCGTCGAGCTCTTTATTGACTGCTGATAGCAGTAGCAACGCAACAGCTCATCCTCCAATAGCGGCTTCGCCAAAAGTTTTGTCACGCAATATGCAACAAATGCGAGCCAAACGTCAGCAGATTATGGCAGCCCTGGCAGCAGAAGCCCATGCAAATGCTAGTAACATATCCGATGCAGATGCTGGTGATCTGCCATCAAATTTGGGTTTGCCACGTGAGCGTGTCATAAGTATATGCAACATGGACAAGCACGAATTGGATGATTATTTTGTAGATGGCGAGGTAGAGGAGGAGCAAGAGGATCAAGATACTGAATTGCTTCAATATTTTCAGACGAGAGACGCTGAGGAAAAATCGAATTCCTCAGATGCTGTAAAATCAAACAAGTATCCAACAGCAGCGACGCAAGCAACACCAACAATAGCAACACAGGCAACGAAAACGTTAACATCAACGAGTGCAAGAGCTTTTGCAAAAACAACGTCATTGACAGCGAAATCGTCGCCTCAGGCTATCAACAAGCAACTAAGCGTACAACTAAATGTCGCGGATAACTACAGTTATTCACCACAGTTATCAAACAGTGGCGTTACTAACGCTGGCGCGAACAAAAAGCAGACGGCGACAAGCGTTTTCTTACATAAAGCGAGCCCGACAACAACAACAACTACAACAATGGCTGTTGGATCGGCCTCAGCGTCTCTCACTTTTATGTCACAGAAGCATCAACAAGAACTACAACTTCATAATCAATTAGTTAGAAAAGAAAGTTCACAACAAACAAATACTGTAACCAACATTAACAACAACAACAATCTTAACAAGCGGAAAATCAGTTTGAGTGGCCCAACCTTAAATGCAGCCGAAGTTATGGCCACCCGCAAGAATTGCATATTCTTTCCCATTTCACCCAACACCAACACGGTCAATAGCGGCAACGCTAAAACCATTGGAACTAACGTTAACAACAGCAAATTCAATGGTGGCAACATTTCATTGAGCACTACAAACTCACTAAACTCGAGCAATGGAAATAGCGGTGGATCTTTTTTCGTAAGTCCAGGTCAAAGCGCACATCGTGTACGACCAAAAGCATCATTTGCATTCGGCAAACAATTGTCATTGGAGCAGGAGTCTAGTGACCCTATGATAGGTGCCAGCCGCCGACGCCGGAGCTACGCTAATCTCGGAGGCATATCAGGTGGTAACAATTCACTCTTACCCCTCACTTCGGCTTCAGCACCACCTAGTCCGTCTGTTTTGCAACAGCAACAGCAGCAGCAGCAGCTACAACAACAAAATTTTTATGGTTCACTTTTTTCGAGTGGTACCGTTGGTGAGGCCGACATGGTTCAACAGCTCGACAATCAGTCTGCAAGTGGTGTCCCTTACAATCATCAGATGAATAGCAATACGACTTTAAACACAGCAGATTTGGCAGCCGATCAAAATTCTTTGGACCTGGATTTATTTAGCACAGCGGTGGCCAAAGCGATGGATTATGATGGGTTGACATTGGATGAGCTTACGACACCAAACGAAATGCAACGTTCACAATCGGTGCCTCTTTCCCAGTTGCAACGCATACATTCACCGGCCTTTAATCGTAGTTTCCAAACTGCCCCTTATTCAGCATGTACATCGGTTGCACAAACACCAGTTCCGCATGAATTTGCCGACTCATCTACTCTCTTCTCTGAGAATAGCTGTAGTCAGAATAGTGGCGGTATTGGCGGATCCTTAAACGGAAAGCTTGCCGCCCAAACAACGGCCGCTAAATTGTTGGATGATGAGGCGGCGCTATTAGCTAACGATCCGGTAGCGATGCTGGATAATCTGGATGTAGCTGAGATGTTTCAAACGGACTTTTTGCAAATGAAATTTCAAAATAATTTGCAAAGTAACGCCACCACAACAACATGCTCTTCAGCAGGCTCATCGTCAGGTTATAGCAGCAGTGCTTGCACTGCATTCGGAAGCGCTGCTTTAATATCAGGCGGCAGCGGTGGCAGCGGAAATAATATAATTGGTTGCTCAGGCAATACCACATCAAGATCTGTGCCATCCACACCACTGCCGCATCAGCAACAACAAAGTCCCTTTAGTTCATACTTTTATTGCGGGCGGCGACGTCTTGATGAAGAGGCGCACCTTTCGCCGTCGCTTACCACATCAAACACTACCATGGGTGGTAAATTCACAACAACTGTTTTCAAGTATAGCAATCACGGTAACGCTCCAACCGGGAATGGTAATGGTGGTGGCGGCGGCGGCGGCTCCTACAACAACAATTACGATATATCACGTTCCATGCCAACGACACCCACGGCAACGCCACGTTTTCGCTACAGTCCAATTGAGTTTACACGCGAATTTCTTAGCAATGGCAATACCATAGACAGTCTGATTAGTGGAGGCCCCAACACCGGCAGCCTTACCGATGCTGGTGCACCAAGTGAGGGACTTAGTGCCGCATTAACCGGCCTCACTGGTAATAATGATGCACTTATTGATGATAGTTGTGGTCTTTCCGCAGATGTGTTCATTAATACGACGGTAACCGATGCTGAGTCAATGATGGCTGAAGCGAACGAGTTGTTGGGAAATTTGTAGGATTCGCAGGAAGAGGAAGTGAAGTTGGCTAATAACAGAGGTAATAGTAATGACAAAAACAATGCAAACACCACCAATAATGAGACTGGCAAAGCGCAATTAGTAGGCAGCCAAGGGTCACTTGCTGTTGATGATGAAAATGATCCGCAAGCGATCGTAATGCCAACTAGTGTTGTTGTTGGGCTCTTATTGGAGCAAGTAGGTAAGCTTTAAACAAATATATAGTTTCCCTTTGAACTATGACCGTTCTTGAGTGGCATTATCAAATGTTGGAGTGAGCAAGTCATAACGATTAAAGGATATACCTTATAATTATAACTGAACAATGGAAAAGTTGTATTTTTCCTTCTTTAAGAAGGAATTCGTTCTTAATATTAAATAATTTTTATCTTATCTTAGACGCGGCAAAGTGTTTGCCTATCAATTCAAGCATTTATAATATTTTTTTTTTTTTTGTTTCTGACCCATCCAATTTATTTTTTATTTTACTTCATTTAAGAAACGGCAATATTTCAAACTCTAAGCTTGTTGATGGAAAAATTGTTCGTTATTGAGCTTAAAAACACTAGAATATATTATATAAGACTTCGAGCACTCAAAGTGGCAATGAAGTGGATCTGATCGTAGCTTTCTAAGGTTAACATAGCATTTTCCTTGTCCCCGGTCGGCTGAAAACATGTATGTAGTCTGCATTAATGCGGCTTGTCTGCTACTCCCGTTAGGACACAAAAGCCAACAAAGCTTTCTCTTCAAAGACCAAATTCGCTAAATATGTTATTAGGGTTACTCGATTTTTATATTTTTCTATTACCTAGAATTTCGCTAGCTACAAATATCAATATTACAATCTTCTTGACAAAAAAAAAAAGCTTTCTCTTTGTAAAATAATTTTGCTGTTAAGTGTTAAGTACAATATATAGTGTATATTTCGTATTTTATTTGTGTATAAAAGCTCGCTGTTTTCAATTGAATTGTTAAATGTTGTATTGTATATATGTATGACTATGAGTAAGTTATTGATGTATTTAAGTATATGTACATACATACTTACTTGCTATAAAATTATGCCGAAATATAAATGTATGTTTAAGCATATAATAATATTTATATACACATATGTATGCATGTATGTAAGTAAAAAGTACATTTGACATGGATACCTTCATGCATACAATGGTTGTTTGTATATACATACGTGTATGGTACAAGGGCCATAAATTTAAAATATTTTATTTGCATTAAGTTAAGATAAAAAATTTCAACACTTTTTATAGTTTTGGCAATCGAGTGATCTTAAACAATTCACCGTTGAAAGATGTAAATGTCATATTCGAGCTATTATTAGCGTGTAGCATTTCCGTTAAAAAAAAAAATTCGATTTTTAATATTTATTAGCTGTTATATTATTTTGTATTACTATTATTGGCTATAAGCAAAACAAAAAAAAAACTAATATTATTAACGGTTTCATTTGACAATGCCTTAGAAAAAAATAACAACATTCAAACGTTTGAACTTTTTACAAAATGATTGGGTGAAGTTAAAATTTGTACTACATTTTACCGCTGCGAGCAATTCAATTTAATACATTTAAAAGAAATTAACAATTAGAATAGAGAGCATAGATAATATTTTATAAGCTAAAAGCTTAGAATTTTCATAAAATCTGAAAAAAAAACCAAAAACGGAAAACGAAATTTTCACAAAAGTTTATATATTTTAATAAAAAATTAAAAATATATATGTATATGTTATGTATGTATGTACAATGTATTGGATTAGAAATATTTGGACCAACCCTTATGATCAAAATTTATTATATGATGCATAAGAATGAAATGTGAGCTTTTAATGTAAAACTGAAAACTGATTTTTCTTTTCACATTTAACGAAAATTCGTAGGCATATAAATAGACATTTACTTACATATTTACATACAAGCGCTAATCGGTATGCATATACAGTATTGGCTAAAACTAAAGCACTCGCTCAAGGAAGTACATAGTTATACATATATATTTATATAATGGCTATAACAAAATGAAAGGCAACGTTTTACTTTTAATGAAAATTAAAAACTGGATAATCAAAACTAAAGTATTATCTTTAGTAGTAAAAATATTATATTTATGTTTATTGCTCAAAATGTTATACTGCGTCTATTATTTTTATGACTTCAGCACATCTCTTTAGAATCAAAGACAACTGTTTAATAATAACTTTTGGCAATGTATTGAACCAGGTTTCTTTGAACACATCAGTACAATTTTTTTTTTTTTTCATTTCACTCTAATCAATGGCGAAATCTCCAACTGGCAGAAGTTCGAAATCGAATTGAAATCCAATGCCAAGGAAAATGTTTGTTATGGATATGGACATTTCTGATATTTACAACTCATTATTACATCTTTTGAAATGTCTATGTCTAAGCGATTTATTATTACCGATTGCTTGGCCAGAAAAGTAAACCTAGACCAAAACAGATCTACCGGCTCATCTGTCAGTAACCATACAAAATCTGAGATTACTTTGGCCTTTTTACTTCTTAACTGAACAGCTAAAAATGGCAAACTGTGTGATTGCCGATGATTGGAAATTTGACTTAGAAAAATTCAGACGGAATCAATTTCATAAAAGAAGACATCGAACTCTCAGGTTTTGCATAGTAACTATCAGATATGAAGTTTTGGTCTCGGGTGGCTTCTATGGCCAAGCAAACGGCATGATTTTACGAATAAGAGGAATAATGAAGCGATTAGATGCTTTCAACAGATATTATGTTGTCAAATGCTGAGTAGAAAATACCATAAAAATGGATACTCTTGCAGGATAAACGATCTGAAAATACCTCTAGCCACTCTAAGATCTTGTTATACCTCTAGCCACTCTAAGATCTAAATCACGCACTGGATTACTTATAACTATTTAAGTCCCTTTAATTTTGGTACATTTAAAAACATAATTTAAATATTTTTTAATTGTGTGAAGAGAAGCCGAAAAGATGGAAGTGATATAAGACATAGAATGTTGAAATAAAAAACGTGATTAAGAAGTTTCTTAAAGGATCTTTGATTGGTCGACTTAATCTTTTGATTTCAGTATGGTTGAGAACTTTTTGGAAATCGTGATATGGCAAAATTCATAGAGAAAATTGTGCTGTATGATATGACCAATAAACCTGGTACACCAAATTGCCAGAAATTATTAGTAAACGGATTTTTTTTATACTAAAGGATGTGCTGAAGTCACAAAAAAAAAGATTCAGCGCAAAATTATTGAACATAAATACTCTCACTACTTAAGAGGCATAGATTTTAAATTAATATTTTTTTTTTAATTTTATTTAATTAATTTAATTTAATGCTGTCTATTTTTTACTATACCTTATATGTTGAAGTAGTTAGGTAGCACAGGATATCTATTATTGTAATATTTGCGATTATTTCATTGAGTAATTTGGCTTTATTTAAAACACCTTGAGTGAGTACTTTAGTTTTTGGCAATACTGTATGGGTACAAAGTAATAATGGGAAGAAAAAATTGAATTGAAAAGAAAAATAAAAGCGTTCATTTTAAATATCAGCTCATCTCAAAAACAAGTTTCTGCAAAATGTCAATGAGATTTAACAATCGAAGCCACGATTTACAAAATTTATAAAATTGCCTAAATTTTTTTCCTTACAAAAACGTTTCCTTAGTAGTAGCTAGTACTTAAAAAAAAATATGGATTATTTGTTTTTTATTTGTTTTTTGTATTTCAAAGTAATTTTTGTTAGAAACTAAAAATTCCACAGCCATTGAAGTGTTTTTTTTTTTAGCAGAGCTTCACTGTTTAAATAAAAAGCGTGATTAAGAAGTTTTGAAAGCTTTCATGTGCCTTAAACTTAGTAGTGTTGCATATTTTTAAATTTGATAACAAAAACTGTGCTTTATTTAAGAAAAATCGATATGTGACAAAAAAAAATCGAAGATAGTTTCATATTGAGTGATGAAGTTGAAGTTTTTAATATAAAATTTTTATATTTTCATAAAAAACTCTAAGCGGCACGAAAATAATCTGCAAAGCGTTCGCATTTTTTGTGAGTAATTGTTAACTTTTTTCATTTACAATAATATGTTTTACGTTTTTTATTATTAAAGAATTTTATTTTTTTAATTCAAGAAAGTTGAACATTTTTTCCAAGGCGAATTTGTAGAAGATGAAGTTGTCACATCATATGATTGCTTGTTATTTCCTACCATAACAAAATAAATGAGAAATAGGTTTTGGCATCGAACGTTCGTTTACACAAACAAAATACATTAAACGAATTTTGTTGCTGACTTTTCGAAACTATGATTGCACAAACAAAATACATAGGCTTTTTGTTTTTATATTCTTCTCACTACCGTGGGTGAATTTGCCTTGGTTTTTTTTTTTCAAATTAAAGAAATTTTTAACACAAAAATAATGGAAAAGTCCAAAAAAAAAAATTAATTCGTTTCAGATTTGAGTGAAACTATCTTTTTTTTTTGTAACATGGAAATCGATTTAAAAAAAAACTTCACAATGCTGTATGGAGAGGTTTTTTTTTTTGTTTTTATTTTGTTTTCTTAATAAAAATCTTTGCGCGAAAATATTTTTAATGAAGCAAGTTTCGGTGATTGAGAGTTTTTTAACCCTAAACAATTCATTTCAAAAGTAGAGCTATCAGTATATCCGTTATATGTACATAATAAGACATAAAATATAAACAACAATAGTTTTCCGCAATCGTCTTTATACATACAAAATTGTAAATATATTTTTTGAAAGAACATTCTATCGCTTTTAATATTTCTAATTCATAAAATTTTCGTCCAATTTTTTTTTAGTTTTTTATGAGCAAATATTAAGATTTAAGGTAAACTCAACGTTCATGGTATACGTATGTATGTACATTATATATATTTAGTTTTGCTTAATGTGTTTTGGCAAAATATTTTTTATTTTTATTTTTCAAAAATTTAGTTAAGCTTTTTTATATTTGGCAAATTCCTTTAAACACACCTATGGATACTAAATGTAGGCAATATATGTAAACATATTATGAAAATTTGTGTAGATTTTGGTTTTATTAATGTTGTTGCGACATGCATGTATATATAATATATACTTACATAAATTATTTTTAATAACTAATTTTGGAAAGTAAATTTTATGAAAATTTCTTTCATTCATTGATTTGTTGTTATATGTAAGCTGAAAAAAAAATTACTGTTATTTAGTGTTTTCATGTATAAAATACAAGCACTCAACAAATGTGTACTACTATGCTATGTTGTAAAGAATAAATATATCAAACAAAATAGAGAAATAAAAAAAAATTAACCAAAATTAAATTTTTTTCAAAATTTTTCCCTAAATCTTGTTTGTTATTTATACATATACATATGTATATCATTTCTTTATTTATTTATAGTACTCAAATGTAACACTTTAAACATTAAACAAATACAAGACCCAATGAAAAGTTGTACTCAACTGAATGGAGTGTTGTTAGGCGTAAAAAGAAAAAAAAAAAACAAAAAAAAAACAAAAAACATTTTAAAAAATATATATACATATACGTTTGTAAAAGGAATTATGTATGTGTTTGTGTGCCTCAGGCTTAATTATAAAAAAAAACCAATAAAATTGAAAACAAGAAAAACTTAAAATAAGCCAAATTATATTGTGCTATTCTTATACCGATATACATGCATATACCATTTGATATACATACATACATACATACCTTTGTATACATTTGCCTATACATTAAACAAATTATATACAATATAGTATATTTATCAACATACATATACAAAAGTGCATAGGTATGAGAAGAAATTGTACAAAAAAAATAA